GCATCAAGATTATATATGCAATCTCCTATATAATATTAATTAGGATATAATTATCCATTATATTATTTTAAAATTGATACATATATTAGGATACTTGAAATTATATTTGCGATAGAGAATACAAACGAGAAAACGGATATTATGTAAGTACATGTATTATTTTATTTCTGACATTCAAATTAACATAAAAACATTTTATTCTGAAATTTTGTTCGAAGAAAGTTACTTTATTGCTTCAAAGCAAATAATCTCTCAGATTAAAAACGGATCTTAATTAAATCATATCATATGAGTTTCCACATAATGCAATTTGAAAGAAAAAATACTTTTTCAAAAAATCATAGACAAGGCAGATCTTTTGTATAGTGTGTTTTCCATTTGAAATTTTTAACGAATGTTTAAAAGTTTGGTGAAAATTGTTTTCTTCTGTCTATGACGCGATTGACGCTCGCGCCATTTGTTCTGCGCGTATCGAAGTTGTCCGCGCTGCAACTTCGTTTTACATGAAGTCATCGCGGCGATTGTATCGCGAAAAACAGGGCCAACAGTGTAAGGGCCATGGCACACAGAAAAACTTAAGCAGTAAAACATAAGCAGTAAGGAAATCAACATGTTGAATGGGCTACTGATGCTTACGTTATAGTTTAACGGTCTTTAAAATGATTGGTAATTAATTCACTTATACTGCTTACATCTTATTGTTTAAGCTTTTGTGTGCCATGGCTCTAATTTGTCAATTATGGTACATATTCTTCATAGTCACGCACGACGATTATCGCGTTGCTATATATGTATGGTACGTAGAATTTTGATCATCATGTGTTTTCTATTAACACCGGAATTCATTTGAATATGTTTGTCGGACGTTATTTCCGCATGCATGATAACAATCTTTTATCAACAACATATGCCTGAAAGACCGCGCGACATACCCATTTTGTAAAATAATTATTTTTGTAATAAAGAAACATAATAGACAATGGGCTACACAAATGACAAAAAAAGGCGTGTACCATTATTCATTGTCAATCCTTAACAAATAGATCTTTATTCACCGGGGCAGTATAAATATTGCTACGACGTGACGCTATGTAACATTTACAGTGTGACCAGTAGCAACACAAGATTACAATATGAAAATATCAGTGGTGTTCTTGGCCTTGATGATAGTAGTGTGTGCAATGTTCCAGGGATCTGTAAGTCTTAATTTAAACATAATAGTTTATTGATAAATTTCTGAAAAATAACAAAGTTGTACTCTGTGTGAAGGAATCCATTCCTTGTGGTAGAGGCCGTAGAACGACAACAACAACAACAACAACAGCAGCATCATCGTAGTCACCACAGGTTTTGGCCCAAGCACAATATAACCTGGGATAAATTGAACCTTATGTATGTTTAATCATGGAATAGAAAAGTTGTATCTCACATAGCTGTTGTCTAGTTTTTTAGTCAATTGTTGTCGGTAACGCTCACTTCATACAGTAGCTATACAAAATTAGCTAAAGATAAAAAATGATAATTAAAGATGAAAGCTAGAAATAAAAAATTAAATTAGTAGTAGTCTATCCTAGACTAGACACAGCGAATGCAAATAAATAACAAATAAAAAATAAAATAAAACATTTATGTTTTTTATTGTCATTTTTTTCTCTATCAAATCTGTAGACAGTTTTTTAAATTCAGAATTCTGTTTATCAGGAGTATCTAACTTCTAGATAATTTTTATTAATCAGATTTTCTATGTACTTATTGTCCTTTTTTTTATTCTTAAGAAATTTTTAAGAATATTTTTCTGAAGAGATAAATGAGTCATATTTTCTGTTCCTAAAAATCTTCTGTTCTACTTAATCACAATACACAATTTGAACTGTATCTAGAAATTTATTTTATATCTGGTAAGACTTGAACCTGAAACTGCATTTGATTTTTGAGTTGACGTCGTTCACGCCGTTTATTTCACACGCATCGAAGTTACACTTCCGTTCCACACATCAAAATTATTGCGGCGATTGCATTGCAATAGGCAGAGGCGAAAGTATAATTCACCGGTTCTGACATGTATTCTTCACAGTCACGAAAATTGTCGCGTTGCTACGTTTGTATGGTACGTAGAGTTTTGATTATAATGTTTTTTTTCTATTTCGCTGGAATTCGTTTGAATATATTTGTCGGATATCATTTTCGCATGCGTACATAATAACAATTTCTTATCAGCGACACGTACTTGAAAGAATGCGATACATGTTTGTAAAATAATTATTCTTGTTTTAAAAGAACATAATTGACAATGGGCTATACAAATGGCAAAACATGTGTGTGAAATTTATTTGTCAATCCTTAACATAGATAGATCATTATGCGGCGCAGTATAAATATAAATGTTGCTACGATGTGACGTAAATAAACGTGATGTAAACGTTCATAGAGCAAGCAATAACAGCGCAAGATAGCAATATGAGAATATTAGTGGTGTTCTTGGTTTTGATGATAGTTGTGTGCCATGGGATCTGTAAGTCTTAATTTAAATATGATCATTTATCGATAAATTTCTGAAGAATAACGAAGTTCTCTGCGAAGGTACCCCTTTCTTGGCTTCGTCACAAATTTCATCGCAGACGTACAACAACAATAAGAATTACGACGCAGACATCACAGGCCCAGGCATCATAACCAACAAAATGAACAAATTGAACCTTATGCCTATTTAGTCATGAAATATAATATAATAGTTGCGTCTCACACAGCTGTTGTCAATTTTTTAATCAGTTGTTAAATGATAATTTAACGCTCACGTCTTCTAGTAGCTCT